TGTGTTTTATTCACTATCTTAATTGCTTTTTTTTTAATTCAATGTTTCGATTATCCCTGTTTTTTTAGTTTTTTTTTTTTTTAGTTTTTTTTTTTTTTGGTTTTTGCATGTTGCCTGTGCTCTTTCTTGCATCTTTAACTTGCCGTCTGTTTGCCCATTTTGAGCTAATGGCCGCTGATTTAATAATAAATAAATAAATTTATTATAAATAAATATGTAAATAAAATATATATAAATATGTTTTTATTTTCTTTAATCGGGAGACATGCTGACGTGAAACTGATTTTTTTTTCTACAGCGTAAATATGACCCCGAAGCTGTATTTATTTTCTGTACGCAATTAACGTCTGACGTTTTTCAAAGAATTTTCTTTCTTATGCCGAAGTTTAAAGCAGTCTTTATAAAAGTGAACCTGTCAAGTATAATTTAATTGTAAAATTTGTGGTGAGTAAATTTGACAAAGTTTCTGCACCTAAAATTGATACCAATAACAAAATACTCGAGGTAAAGAAAACTCGTGGATGAGTGCCAAGTCAGAACATTCCAAAGGCGAAATTTGTATTCCGCAAAGACTAATAAGTGCGGTGTACAGTGGGATGCAAAAGTAGGTATACACTAATGAAAAACAAAACGTGCACACAAAACGTATTGTATTGATTAACATATGAATAATAAAGCTATCAATCTTCAACCGTCATTAACACACACCGTCATTCACACATACCAATTTACCTGAAAAACATTTATTATTATTAGTATTATTATTATTATTATTATTATTATTATTATTATTATTTATTAAAAAATAAAAATTATCATAGATGTATAAAAATTATGAATATACATAATATCTAACGTCGATCGCACGACTCAGTTTCATGAAGTTTATGCAATATTCGCATACCGAATATTTTTGCACCTGAAGATTGCATAAACTTCATGAAACTTTGAGTCGTGCTATCGACGTTAGATATTATGCATATTCATAATATATATATATATATATATATATATATATATATATATATATATATATATATATATATATATATATCTGATAAAATATAGTTTTAAGGTATGCTATATTTATGGCTTAAAGTGCTTTATCGCAAAACTCAAATTTTTCTCCCCCTCTGTCTGTCTGTCTCTTTCTCTCTCCCTCTTCCTCCCACCACTTCTTCTCATCCCCCTCCACCCCCATTACCAGTACAATTATATTTATGGGTAGATTTTGAGACGAAGCGATGACTTGTTGCCTGACGAAGCAGAAACCGTGGTTACAAGAAGGTCCGTGTTCCTGATATTTTACATATTAATTTGCCCTACAATTTCGTTGTATAAAATTAGTATTGAGCACTAATTTAATTTGGCCGCTCTTTTGGCGAATATCAATTTTTCAAAACTAAAATAATTATATATATATATATATATATATATATATATATATATATATATATATATATATATATATATATATATATATATATATATATATATATATATATGTGTGTGTGTGTGTGTGTGTGTGTGTGTATATATATATATATATATAAAGAAAGAAAAGAAAGAAACTGGGTGAAGCTTTGCTGTAATGGCTTCTCGTAAAAAGCATATGTGGCTTCAAAGACATGTCATTATTAAAATAAATTGAAAATAAAAGTTTATCAGATGACTACTCCATTAATATGAACTTTTTTAAACTTAAACTGGAAGACATCAACAGAAAACATTTCTAATATATCTTACGCAGATAACGAGCTCTTACACTCTCTATAGAGATATGTATAAATGTGATAATATATATATATATATATATATATTATGTACACGGTGTTTGAAAAGTAACTCCCTATTCTATATATAAGTGGTCAGCCAGAAGTCCTGACTTGAAACCCGCTGACTTTTATCTTTGAGGTTAGTTAAAGGAGTCACTCTGCTATACCAAACCAAGAATTTGGAAAAACTTGAAGGGCGAATACAAGAAGTTATGTCTTCCATAACACATGAGTTCCTGGCGAAATCAGTTGGCGCGATTCCTGGGCGGTTCGAGAAACTGGCCATGTCGAATTTTAAATAAAACCTCACGCTAAATGCTTTCCTCTCATATCAATTTCTTGTAAAAATTATAGTTAATAAATATATCATAAGTATTTCAAAATGGGCAGTTACTTTTCAATCAACCTGTATATATATTAAGAGTGGTGTATTATATATATATATATATATATATATATATATATATATAATCATTTATTCGAAAATTATAACAGAAGTGAAACAAAATGGCTATTTTTGTATTGATTTTATAACGTTTTTATGTTATAATTTTCGAATCTATATTTGGGTATATATATATATATATATATATATATATATAAGATATATATATATCATATATATATATATATATCATAGATAGATAGATAGATAGATAGATAGATAGATAGATAGATAGATAGATTCTTTTTGAATCGCAACCGTGTCTTGGTGGAGGAATTTTTGCGTCTTGAGAAAACTGAATGCAATGCTGTCGGGGACTGAAACTCAGTCTTCTGGTAAGGCGTCCCATGGCGACAAGGATTCAGAAGGGACCAGACTAAACACGATCCGATGCCGGGCAGGTCAGCGTTCAAGCCGATGTTCTACGTAAGGATACAAGACGGCAGCTCGACCGAAATTGTCATCATGAACCTGCATGTCAAGCCCAGGTTTGCCGTAACGGATGGCGTCATCTGAAGTCTTAGCCATAGAGTGACGACCCAAGCTTTCGTACTCATCTTCCTCTTCTCAAATCCTATACTCCAAACGTCTCATCCTTCAAGTCTTCGACGTCATGGAGTAGGTTACTGGGAGAGGTCGTGGACTGGACACCTTGACTGAATGTCAGACATCCACCTGCCCAAACATACTATCTTCACGGAACTCGCATCTGGCAAAAGACTACGTAGATCCCCGCGTCGTCGATTCAAGGATCCGTTTAAAAACACCTTTCTGAGGACAGGTATCGATCCAGTCAATTAGAAGACGGAAGATGCAGAAAGAACCAATTGGAGAACAACGAGCCATACCAGAAAGCAAATAGAAGAAAGAAAGGGAGACCAAAGAAAAGCAAAGCTCTCCATCCTCTGAAACCTCTTACACTACCATGCGGTGGCTACGGACGTCTCTTCAGTACCAACATAGCAGGATATGCCGAACCACACCCCAATAATCGGCAACGATTTCTGTCAACGACAACGACGACGATATATAGATAGATAGAGATTGAGATAGAGCGAGAGAGAAAGAGAGAGAGAGTCATCTGAAGATCACGAGAGCATGAAACTTGAGTAACGACTCGAGCTGTCCTTTGTTAAGTGTTGACGTTGAAAAACGTTCTTTTGCTTTATCTAGGTAATCTGGGCGTTGAACACTTTACTTTGGTGCGTAGGTAGGTGTTTGCTTTTTCGTCTTTCTTTTTTTCTTTCCTTGTTCGGGATTTGTTCTTTCATGAGGTGTTAGCTCGGCTGGCAAGTTATTCCTTCTTTATTATGATGGACTCTCCCATCCGAGTTCGATGTATGAGGTTCCGACGACCATGAATTAATTATCTGCATGCCTATGACGGGCACGACTTTTGAGACCGGCTCGAGAATTGCACAAAAGATCACAAACAGTACACACACCCACACAAACAACACACACACACACACACATACATACATACATACATACATATATATATATATATATATATATATATATATATATATATATATATATGTATATATGTATATATCGACTTGGTCTGAAGATGGTATTTAAGCATGAAACAGAAAGTGTTGATTCCCCTGTTGATTCTGCCTATATATAAAAAATCGCCGATATTCGGCATTTTCACCTATACATATAGTAAAATATAAAATAAATATATATACATTGGATCATTGCTAAAGCTTGTGCCCGATTTTGAATGATTTTAATTATATAATCTAGTATAATTTTTTGCAAAGATTATATATATATATATATATGTGTGTGTGTGTGTGTGTGTGTGTGTGTGTGTGTGTACTGATAATAATAATAATAATAAAATACTTGTTACACACCATTTGGTGCAAGTCTGAGTTTCATTTGTGCCTGATGATTGTGAAGTGCATGAAACTCAGAGTTGCACCAAATGGATAGGAACAAATATATATTTATTCCTATAAAAATTTATTCCTATAATATAATATATAATATAATATAATATATAATAGATTTATTCCTATAATAAATTTACCTATTTTATTTTGCATGAAGCACTGTTTCACTGTAGTCATTGTGCGCTATTTTGTGTGTATATATATATATATATATATATATATATATATATATATATATATATATCGCTAGCAAAGGGAAAAAGTACTAAGTTTCATTATTTAAACATACACACAAATACACATGCACGCATTTCATTCTTTCGTTTTCGAAACTGATGAAGACTTAAATGGTGAAATGCATTATCAAATCTGTTTTTAGACAAATCTATTTTCATGAACGTTTCCAACTGTGAGAATTTCAAAACTTTGTCGGAATTTCTATATCCTAATTTAAAAATATATATATATATATATATATATATATATATATATATATATTGCCTAAACTCTCTTGTATCTATAGGCTCAGAGGATAGAGAAGAATACTAAGAATAGGAATGGTAAACCCCTGCATAGTAACTGGCAGTTTCATCAGCAAAACACCATATATATATATATATATATATATATATATATATATATATATATATAACTTCGCTCACGCTGACGGACGTATTTCAATAAGAACGGGCGGACTCTGGAGATAATAATGTTTTACTGATATAAATCCCACTAATTAACCCGTAGATGGGGGAGGAGAGGTTGATTCATGCCTTCCCCATTATTTGCGCGTCAGTGGATGTAACGATCCCGACTGGAATTGGAGCTCTCCGATTAACAATTCTGAGCTGTTACACCAGTCGCGCATCCAAGCTTACAGCACCTGCTGATCCGAAGAAATCACCCATCTCGGTACTGACTAGGCTCGACGTTGCTTAAACTTCGGTGATCGTACCGGAATCGGAGTTTCAGCATCATATGGCCGTCAGCCCGGAAGGCTTGAAATACGGCAATATGCTTGACAACTTAGCCTCACGCATTTTTTATAATATACAATTCTTTGTCGGCACTTAAAACATACTGCAAGCCCCACCACTTAAATCCTACGCCGTGTTAACAACAAACGTCTTCACAAAGAGAGTATCGTCTGCTGTTTGCATTTCTGCCAATTCAGGATTCCATACAATAGACAAAGAAGTACACGGCAAAGACGCGGACACACAGACACAGAAGACACGTGACAACACACGTACGACATGTTCACTTCAAATTATTCTCCACTTTAACATATTTTCGAACGGCTCGCAAGACCAATTTAAAGACGAAAACAAGAAACAATTCTAGTCGAGGGAAGGCATGAACTTTAAAACTTTATACTTGGTAACTCTAAGAATTTTCTAAAAACGGAGCATAGCATGATGAGAAAAGGTCCCAAACCTTTTAAAACTTAGGTATCGCGTTTTGGTCGGTGGTCCCTACTCTCTATATATATATTTGTTCCTCTTCTCTCTCTCTCTCTCTCTCTCTCTCTCTCTCTCACTCACACACACACACACACACACACACACACTCACTCACTCACACACACATACATATATATATATATTCATGAATTATTCATACAAAAAACAAATACAAAGGTTAATGATTTAATTGGCGAAAATCCATCGTCGCGAACAATTCAAATAATATACAAAAACCCTGAACCTGTTATGAATGAAAAAAATCCTTGTTTTTTATGAATTTCTGTTGCATTAGTTCTTATTTTACTACAAGCTTTCGTCTGTTCCTACAGACATCTTCAGGTATGGAATAGATGTTGTTCTTGTTTTTACTCTCAGTAATAAGAAGACAACGAAAATATATGTATTGTTGTATCCTAAAAATGCTATTAGAAATGAGTTATTGTTTTTGGAGCGTGCAGTAGCAACGCTGAGTTTAATTTTAAATTTTACAATTGTGCGTTCTTGTACAAATATGGTGATAAGCGAATTCTTTTTTACTGGTAAATTTTCTGTCAAAGGGGCATGAACTATATTGTTCAATAATTACAGTAATGTCGCACTTATTATCCAAAAGTTGCACTTGGATCAGTTATTTTAATTTCAATAAAGGTGCATTTAATTTACAAATTCATGAATTATTCATACAATATATATATATATATACATACATGTCTGTATATATATATATATTGTTTTGTTTTTTTTAAGCATTACGCCCCGAGCAAGGCGTGAAGCCACTAGGATGCAGGGGGATGCAGAAGATTTGGAGCGAGAGCAGATAGGAGTGATAGAAGAAAGGATGAGGAGAAGGCTAGTGGGTAGATCAAGGTAACTGGAGGTGTCAGTTGACATTACATTTGAATAGTTGGAGATTATAGCTCTCAGGGAAACAGGAATAGGGAAGGGAGTTCCACAGGCGAGAGGTGCGAGATATGAAGCTATTGGAGTAGAAGAGACGGCTACATTTAAAAATTTCTACAGTGTAAGGGTGGGAGCGGGATGCCAGCCTCGTAGGGCGCTTGAATTCATGGAGTCTGGGAACCAGTGAAAGCAGCTCATCGGAGCAATTAGGCAGCAATCCTTAATTTATGCATGCTTCATTAAAGACGACAGAAAAGTTACTGCGATTAATCTTTTTATTTAATTTTTCTTGTGTTCAGACAAGTGCTTTCTTTTTGGGACACAGGGTGTGTAGAAACTGTCCAAATGTTCTATGATTTCGAGCGCTTTCGGCTATTTTTTTCTATTTAATTGAATGTGTGCGTTGTGTGTATGTTTTTAGTGTTATAGAGATGTTTTATTTTCCGAACATAGAACGTTGTGGACGTGTTCATAGTTAATATTATTAAGTTTTGACTTTTTCTTTTTTATTATTAACGCTTCCATTATTTTTAATCTTTTTTACATGTGGATGAACTTATTGCATTTTCTACTGGTATGTTTTGGATGGAGTCTGGTAAGCTTGTGTGCGTGTTTGAATGGGTTCTAATAGAGCTGGGGTTAGATAGAAGTAACGTAAGGCGTCTGGATAGACATGTGGTCGTGTGACCGGAGGAATTACTGGGTTTTTTTTCAGCTAAGTGCTCGGAATTATAGAACATTTGGAAAGTTTGTATACACTCTGTGTCCAAAAAAAGAAAACAGTTTTTTGAACACAAGAAAAATTAAATAAAAAGCTTAATCATTGTACCTTGTCTGTTGTCTTTAATGAAACATGCATATATATATATATATATATATATATATATATATATATATATATATATATATATATATATATATATATATATATATATATATATATATATAAAAGCTCCAGATGGCGTAATGCTTGTCTCGCTAGAACAATTACGACTGAGTAGTGAGTTCAATCCTCACTGGGTGCCCCTTACCTTCGGCCTTGTGCCACATCAAAGATACGCTTGAAAACCACTATACATATATATATATATATATATATATATATATATATATATATATATATATATATATATATATTCTTCATTAAATATGGCAGACTGGGATAGTAAAGCTCTTGGGACAATGAAAATTATGGAAAATTTCTCTACTCCCTTACTTCTACAAAATGGAACGACATAAGGATGCTAGAAAAACCAAATAAATAAATAAATATGTCTTCAATATTCAATGAAAGTTGTTTAAAAGAAAGTTTGAAGCCCAAATATATATATATATATATATATATATATATATATATATATATAATGAATGAAAAAAATTAAAAATGCAAGTGTAGATTTCCTTTAGAAAAAAAATATTCTTAAAGCCTCCAGTTGCATTTTATAGTTCTTTTTCCTATATTTTTGCTGCGATGGATACATTAAAAAAATATATATATATATATATATATATATATATATATATATATATATATATATATAAAGGTTCAAATGATGCATCATTTGACGACTTCAATGTTTCTGCAGACACACCACTCATCAGGTTCAGATAAATCTTTCTAAATGATTATTTATTCACTATTGACGATCTAGTTTTCTATTGAGCATTTAACTAAAGAAAAAAAATTCTGCTTGGCTCGGAATATGTGAAATTCTAGTAATTTTAGGTATTTGATGTTTTATTGATTTGCTTGATAAACCTTATTTTTAGTGGGTACTTGTATGTGAGTAGCCGCTCCGTTTATTTCTTAAACAGTATATTTATTTATTTTCGTCTACCGACCTGAATATTCGAGAAATCTTAAAGAAAAATATTCGCTCTCATATTTTTGCCTAATAACATTTCTCAAATATACAGACTGGTAGAGGAAAATAGATAAATATATTATTTAATAGTTAAACAGAGAGTCTACTGAAATATGAATATCCACTAAAATTTTGTTCAAGTAATAAACCCCTCGGATGAATAAATGAAACATCCATCTTTTCTTCGCAAATATATATATATATATATATATATATATATATATATATATATATATATATATATATATATATATTTGTGTATTAAGGCAGCAATCCTTCTTTCATGTACATTTCATTGAATACAACAGACAAGATGATTTTATTTAGTTTTTTATACAGTTTCTCATACGGTCTAATAATTTGTTTCTTTCGGATGATAAATTATATAAAAACTGTCCGAATGTTCTTTTTATCCGAGCGCTTTCGGCTATACATTTAACCATTTTCAAGAATTAAATATTTTAACTGTTAAATAAGAAAGACTTTGTTGTATGTATGTTTTACAAAATGTTTTCATTTTTCAAAACACGGTCAAGACATTGTGTCCATGTTCAAAGTTAATATTATTAAGTGTTTTTTTTTTTGTATTTATTAATAAGGCTTCCATTATCTGTACCCTTTTTTTTTTTTTTTTTTTTTTTTTTTGCATGTAGATGATGCTATTATATTAGTGTTGTCGACAAGTATGTTACGAATAGTGTCCGGTACGTCTCCATGAATATTTAAAGTGAGTGAGTCAGAGTGTCATATATATATATATATATATATATATATATATATATATATATATATATATATATATATATTCGTAATTTTTATATATATATTATTTATATATTATATATACGCGATACTCAGTGGAAAGCGCTCAATATCAGTGATAGAGCTAACATATTTAGTTGGATTGATGTGAGTTTGTGACCCTGCGTTTCACGCTATTTGCGATAGTCAGAAACAGACGATCGAAAGGGCGTAAACCCAGGATCACAAACTCGCATCAGTCCAACTATATATATATATATATATATATATATATATATATATATATATATATATATATAATTAAATGTTCACTTACCTTATCCCTACTCAGATTTTGAAACACAATATTTGTTACTGCTCATATATATATATATATATATATATATATATATATATATATATATATATATATATATTATATATTGTTGAAACTTATAAAGCATGGAATAATAATAATACAACACAAAATGTACTTAAGCAAAATGTATTGACACAAGAACGTGTACACAATATTTACAGATAGTTTGGTATATTCTTGGGAAGACCGTTCCTGTAGAATGGGTTGACTTAATCGCAGTCGGGCAGAGTATCTGGATTGGATCTCTTCTTCCTCCACCCGTCTTTCCGGTACCAACCATATTTATATGGTCGGTACTACACTATGTAAATTAGGTGGATCGTACCACAACATATATATATATATATATATATATAGAGAGAGAGAGAGAGAGAGAGAGAGAGAGAGAGAGGGGGGGGCATAGGAATCAACACCGCGTATTATATACAGATTCATGCCTCCAGCAATCGACCTGGGAAGGTGATCCCAACGTGCGACAACATTAGAATGTGACTGAAAAACATACCATGGATTGACCCAAGCCTTGGGAGTGCAAATGTGTAAGCGGAACTGATCAAAGACTGTCAATATCCCTGGCCATTGTTGGGTCGGGAGCGTACTGATATTGTTCAAACTGTTAATCCCGCCAGATTATGGG